ATTCAGGGCAAATATTTATTCATGAAAACGCCAAGATTTATTTCCATCCCATAAAGTCACTATTCCAGTCAGTAGATTTGTTTTCATTTCTATGTCACAGCTTCTCTGCAGGGCTACAGACAGAAATTTGTCATGAACAAACTATAACATGAATATTAATGTAGTAGCCCTTTTATACTGTACAATAATTATCTTTAACCAGCTTTTCCATATTGACGAAATTAGCCTTCCAGATCAGAGGTCTTCAAACCATGGCTTTTAGAGCCAAATGATGAAGAATTTCAAGCAAAACATTATAGTTAAGAATACATAAAAGTATCTAAATTTTAAATTTTAATGTTCGTAAGTACAGTTTTATTGGAACACAGGCAGGTCCATTCAGTTTCATATTGTCTATGACTGTTTTTACACTACAAAATTAGGGTTAAGTTATTGAGACAGAGACTGTATCATATTGTCCACAAAGCCTAAAATATTTACTATCTAATTCTTTACAGAAAAAGTTTGCTGACCCTTCAATTTAGTGGTTATAAGAGGGGTCCTAGAGGATGATTAGTTTATTTTTCTTAAAACTGTAGTTAAATGTTGTGATTTTTTAAAAATTATACTTTAATTTCTGGGATGCATGTGCAGAATATTCAGGTTTTTTACATTTGTGTACACATGCCATGGTGGTTTGCTGCATCCATCAACCTGTCATCTACATTAGGTATTTCTCCTAATGCTATCCCTCCCCTATCTCCCTACCCTCCAACAGGCCCCAGTGTGTGATGTTCCCCTCCCTGTGTCCATGTTTTGTCATTGTTCAACTCCCAATTAAGAGTGAGAACATGCGGTGTTTGGTTTTCTGTTCCTGTGTTAGTTTGCTAAGAATGATGGTTTCCAGCTTCATCCATGTCCTTGCAAAGGACATGAACTCATCCTTTTTTATGGTTGCATAGTATTCCATGTTGCATATGTGCCACATTTTCTTCATCCAGTCTATCACTGACGGGCATTTGGGTTGGCTCCAAGTTTTTGCTATTGTGAACAGTACTGCAATAAACATGTGTGCATGTGTCTTTATAGTAGAATGATTTATAATCCTTTGGTTATATACCCAGTAAAGGGATTGGTGGGTCAAATGGTATTTCTGGTTCTAGATCCTTGAGGAATTGCCACACTGTCTTCCACAATGATTGAACTAATTTACACTCCCATCAACAGTGTAAAAGTGTTCCCATTTCTCCACATCCTCTCCAGTATCTGTTGTTTCCTGACTTTTTAAAGATCACCATTCTAACTGGTGTGAGATGGTACCTCACTGTGATTTTTATTTGCATTTCTCTAATGACCATTGATGATGAGCTTCTTTTCATGTTTGTTGGACGCATAAATGTCTTCTTTTGAGAAATGTCTGTTCATATCCCTCTTCCACTTTTTGATGAGGTTGTTTGTTTTTTTCTTGTAAATTTGTTTAAGTTCTTTGTAGACTCTGGCTATTAGCCCTTTGTCAGATGGATAGATTGCAAATATTTTCTCCCATTCTGTAGGTTGCCTGTTCACTCTGATGATAGTTTCTTTAAATGTTGTATTTTATATATATATAATGAACTTCTACATAGATCCAACAAGCTATTGACAATGTTTTAGTTTATTTACAAGAATGCAAATGTCACCACCCAGTGGGTTCACCTTGCCTGCTGCCTAGACAGAGCCGATTTATCAAGATGGGGTATTGCAATAGAGAAGGAGTAATTCACACAGAGTTGGCTGTGTGGGAGTCCAGAGTTTTATTATTACTCAAATAAGTCTCCCTGAGCATTTGGGGTGCAGAGTTTTTAAGGACAACTTGGTGGGTGGGGAAGCCAGTGATCCAGGAGTGCTGATTGGTCAGGTGCAAAATCATAGAGATTCAAAGCTGTCTTCTTGGGCTGAGTCAGTTCCTGGGTGGGGCCACAAGATCAGATGAGCCAGTTTATCGATCTAGGTGGTGCCAGCTGGTCCATCAAGTGCAGGATCTGCAAAATATCTCAAGCACTGATCCTAGGAGCAGTTTAGGGAGGGTCAGAATCTTGTAGCCTCCAGCTGCATGACTCCTAAACCATAATTTCTAATCTTGTGGCTAATGTTAATCTTACAAAGGCAATCTAGTCCCCAGGAAAGAAGGAGGTCGGCTTTGAGAAAGGGCTGTTAGTGTATTTGTTTTAAACTATAAACTAAGTTTCTCTCAAAGTTAGTTCAGCCTATTCCCAGGAATGGTCAAGGACAGCTTGGAGGTTAGAAGCAAGATGGAGTTGGCTAGGTTAGATACCTTTCACTGTCTCAGTCATAATTTTACAAAGGCGATTTCACAAGGGCTTATTTAGTACTCTGAGGCTTTAGAGTTGAAGCAGCTAAACTTTTTGTAAACTTTTATGAAACTTTGCTTTTGAAGAATATAGCATTGATGATTATTTCAGTAGCTCCATACTAAATATCTTTAGTACTAATAAATAATAGATGACTGACAGGCTAGGTAATCCATGTATTTTAATGTCCTGTAATTCAGGGTAACATTTGGATTATGTCTGTATAGAGGTTATCAGAAGACGACCTGAAGCTTTTATTTTCCTCTTTGCACTGTGGGTTCTAGATACAAAGACAAACAGAAAAAGGGATATTGACCAGGAAAAAGCACACAAAAACATATTTCAATTGCATTATTTACCTGATAAATGCTTTAAATCTTAGAAGGTACAGTGTGGTTTAATCAGATAATACAGCCAATGTCACTCCTCACAGCTTCCACATAACCTAACACTCATCCCCCAATAAACTAAAACCAAGGCTGGGTGAGGTGGCTCACGCTTGTAATCCTAGCACTTTTGGAGGTCTAGGTGGGTGGATTGCTTGAGCTCAAGGGTCGAGACCAGCCTGGGCAACATGGAGAAACCCCATCTCTACCAAAAATACAAAAAATTAGCTTGGCATGGTGGTTCGCACCTGTGGTTCCAGTTACTTGGGAGGCTGAGATGGGAGGGTCGCTTGAGCCTGGGAGGTGGAGGTTGCAGTGAGCCAAGATTACATTCCAACCTGGATGACAGAATGAGACCCTGTCTCAAAAAAACAAAACAAAACAAAACAAAACCAACAACAACAAAAACCTCTGCCTTCTGAACTCCTCAATATTACTCAGTTCCAGCAAACTTTTCTTTTATTCCATTTATTTTCTGCTCGTACTAGTTCTGCTAAGAGTTACCTTAACCAACACCACCCGCGACTCCCTCTGAGAGGCCCAAAAGAATTATGTCTGGCTGTTACACTTACATGTAGAAAATCAGCAGACTATTTCTCATTAGAAGGAGTAATTTTATGATCATAAGCATATTCCATGAGATATATTATATGACATATTACATGCATTAGTCATTTTCTCATATTTTATTAAGACTTTAATGTAAAAAGTAATGACTAAAAATTAAAGAAGATTCAAGTGAGCTACTTAAATATATGCATCTATTATATTTTCATATATCTTCCAATAAGTTTGAAGTATGATATTCAAATCTTTTCATAGCTCCATCTAAAGAAATGGCTGACTGTTAGACCTGAATTTGTGAAAACATATGCATTCTGTTATGAAAATGCCTAGGACCTAAATTATTGTGATCTTTGATGTATGTAAATCTCTTAAATAAATTATACCTAATTTGAAGCTTTCATGCTGTCAGTAGTTTAGTGCTTTGGTTGATCTATTGTTACATAGCAAACCATCAGTAATCTTCAGGGACATAAAAATCAATAGTCCTTCTCAATTTTTAGGTCAGGAATTTAGGTAGTGTACAGCAGATATAGCTGTTTCTGCTCCATAGTGACTGCTGCCCTAAGTAGGGGGTGCTCAAATGTCTGAAGATGGTTAGGATGACTCCAATAAGGCCACCAGCTGGAATGTTCATAATGGGTTCTTCATGTACATAGCCGGTGCCTGAACTTGAGTGGCTGGAACAGCTGGGCCTCTCTAGGCATTGTAATCTCTTTTTATACAGTCTTTCTATGCAGTTAGCTTGACCTTCCCCAGAGTATGGCATGATCCCAGTACTCAAACTACTTTCAATGCAGCCGTTACTTTCCGTGGTGGGTTTTCCAAGGGTGCAAAGCAGAAGGTACAAGGTTTGATTACAGAGTCTGTGCAGATTCAATGTGGTCTCAGGCTACATGAAAGTCTGAATATCAAGAGGTGATGTCCACTGGGGAGCCTATTTTTGGACACTACTACATATAGCATAGAAATGCTGCAAACAAAAATGCTGCTACAAGATCTCGTGAAGATGTTACAAACTTCTTTCAAAAACCAAATGCCTCCTCTTTATATTTTTACTTGTATATATATTTTTATATTCTGCTAGGAATACCATTTATGATGATAACTATAGTTTGTTTTTATAATTACCATTAACTGTTATCCATATTATATAATTATATTTTTTCTTAGAAAGTGAAATCAATATAAATACATTCCAATTCAAAATTTTGTCCCTAAGATTCTTCTAAAAGATGATGTACTTTTAGTTTTCTAAGCCTACATGATTGAATAAATTTGTGTTATTATTTACAGTTTCAGCCCACTAGCAACTTACAGATACAGCAAAAAAGTATGGTTATGTTTATCCACACTTATTATTCAAAAAATAAGTTATTGCCAAATAATACTTAAATAAATACATGTTGAAATGATGATTAGAATTTCCGGTTTGCTCACATATGCTAAAAAGTTGACTGTCTCTTGCTTTAGAGCAAGTTGACTTTCATTCTGCATCTAGCTATGCCTTGTTTCGAAATATAATGAGAGCAACACTGCCTTCAGGTGAAGGTTTGAACACAGAAATGCTTATTCACAAAAGCCTGAAATTGTTCACAACTCAAGATAATGTTAATGTGCCTTCACCAGATAGCCAAAATAATGCATTTTCTAAATTGCAGGCATTAAACAATTATTCAGATCGTATCTGAAACCCTGTCATTTTCATTCTCCCTTTCAGTCCCAGCGGCGTGTCACATTTCACCTGCCAGAAGGCTCTCAGGAAAGCGGCAGTGATGGTGGACTGGGGGACCAGGATGCAGGCAGCCTTACCAGCACATCCCATGGCCTGCCCCTTGGCTATCCTCAGGAGGAGTACTTTGATCATGTCACACCCAGCAATCGCACTGAAGGGGATGGCAACTCCGATCCTGAATGTAGTAAGTGATGCCTCTCTGGTTCCTCAATATAAACGGGTTTACTGTGTTTGCAAGTCAAGCTATCATAGTCATAATAACATGGGCTAATTCATTATGTTATTGTGCATAGTGACACATTTTTGAAAGATAAACATACAGAATTAGATGGATGGCATGTATGCAGCAGCTGATAATATTTTAAATGTATGATCATAACTACTGTGAATGAAATTCATTATAGTGACTTTGTTAAGGCATAGATAGAATTTCCATTTATGTACACCTGTAGATTTATTTGTATATAAACAGCCAATTTATTTTATTTTATTCATTTATTTGTGAAGGTGTAAATTTTTTCTGATATATAAAAATTATTTTCTAGATTTTATTTTTATTTTTAGTAGAGAGAAAAACCATTGACAGTTATTTTCTTTCTGAGGAAATAAGAGATCCTGACTCCAGTGTAGGAGAGTACATCTGAGGTTTTCAGTAATATACTGAAATCACACACCTGTGCCATGTTACTGTTTAGAAAGGTATTCACATTTGGTCTTCAGACAGAAGGCACAAAATCTGCATTTTACAAATTCCAAAGATGTTGAACTCTTTAAAGGGATCATAGAGTTGATATTAAATAAAACTTCATTAAATGTATCATCTCGAACGTGTAGTGAACAACCTCGCTGATTTATAATTTCAGGAAATACAAAATTTGATAAGATATATATTTCTCAGAAGATTCTTGAAATTGCAAGAAGCTACAATTTGCTCCATTTATGTTATATACATAAAAGTATGTAGGTACAAAAAGGTATACAATATATGTGAGAGAAAAGTCGTAGCCATAAACCAATATGAAAAAAATGGGCCAAATACCTGGCAAAAACATAAATAAGGTAATATAAACCAGACATTTTGAAAGATTATTTTGAGCATTGTGGATGGCAGGGATGTATAATTCAAGTAAAGCTTCTGGCTTTTAGAACAAAATAGCTTCCTTATCATTGTATTTTAATCCTCTATTTTTGAAACTTCAAAAAATAGGGAAATGGATTGGTTACACATTATGATATAATCTAAGGCTAAACATATGAAACCAATGACAACATAACATCAACTTTTTCTCTCTACAAATTTAGATGCTATATATTATAGGTATTTTAGTATAAAAATATTAGAGACTTTTGAGTCAGCAAGTTCAGACAGTCCTAAACATCTACTGGATAGTAGATGTTTTCAATTTTATACTTTCAATTTTATACTTGGAATAAATGATCAATACTTGTTCTGAAGATAAAAAAATCCCCTATACCTTGTATCACTAAACTATCTTTAATTTACTTTGTATAGCACAGCATAATGACTCCTGGTGGAAATACATAGTTGTGATTATATTTACTTGTGTAATGAACTAAGAGCCAATCTCTAATAAGAATATGATCATACGTAACAAATATACATTAAACAAGGGTGCCACTGATGTTTTTTACTCCGTAAATTATTGTTTTAGTTGTAGGTCTATCGTTGCCTGTTAAATAAGAATATAGAAATGGAATAAGTATCATTCTTATATACTATAAAGAGTTGATTCCTTTGCACGACATGTGTTACTAAGCCTCTTTCATAGAGGATTGCGTAGCAACAATTAAAGAGTAAACTCAGAGTAAGCATCCACAGTGCACATCTCACCCTGAAATGAAATTCCAACTGAATGAGACTCAAATGGAATACTGTTGATAATAATAGGAGAATTGGTATGCATTAGAAATAATAAAGCATTTAACATTAAATATAGCTTTTTAATCTCAATTATATCTAGAAATAAGTAGTTGTTTTAAAAAGTATTCAAACACATAGTTCTTAACAGAAGCTGATCTTGTTTATAGTTAATGATATAAGTGCTAACATCGATGTATTAGCTGACATACCTAGCGGCTTTTTTTTCTTTTTTTTTTTTTTAAAAATGGATGTTTTCTATCAGGAGCTAAACATTTATCTCTTCTAATTATATTGACACCATTATCTTGAACATTAAGTATCTTGTTCATCATTACAGGGTGAAGGACTCACAAATTTTGCATTGGAAACTTTAGTTGCTAAATTGACTGTATTTTAAAATTGAGATGTCTGTGGGCAATGATAATAGTAAAGTAAATTATATATTTTGCTGCTTATTATTTTAATAAACATATGCAAAGGGTAGATATAATTAAAAGTGAATGTCCATTTTCTACAAGTCTAACAATATTGTTGAGTGAATGTTTAAATGTTATTTTTTACTATGAATAATACTAACAAACTGCTCTCCTACTAAACGTGAAACCTCCCCCTAAATCATGTTCCAAGAAAATTTTGGTTAGGTGTTTTGTTTTGGGACAGTCAGAGACCTTACTAAAAGGGCAAGAAGCGCAATAATTTACTTGAAATGAAGTTCCATTGTCCTAATGTGTCATAGTAGTGAAATGTTTAACATAGTGTGTGTGTGTGTGTGTGTGTGTGTGTGTGTGTTTTGTTTTAATTAAAAAGAAAAAACATAGCTGGTTTAGAATTGGCCATAGCAAAGTAATCTCTTTAGGCTATTACTGATGATAAGGTATTCTGATTCTTCAAAAAGCAAAGCTATAGCTCTGAAATAGTACCCAATAATGGGTTTTGTGATATGGAGCAGATGCCAATAAACTGTGCAGTGTTAGTCAATAGCACCACAAATAGGAATGCAAAGTGTTAGAGGAAATAAATGCTGTCCTTAAGCAATGGAATTAATTTTCACAGTTCCCATTTCATATTTTGAAACTTATTACATCTTCAATCTGCTTTCTTTCTTGCTAGAGAATTGCCAAAAATAGCACACAGTTCTGCAAATCCTTTGTAAATTCACAAAACAGAAATAAATATGACATTTATGAGTAAGGGTATTCTGTAAAATTTGCTAGAGGGATTTATTAATACTGCTTTAAAAATATAGTTCCCTGGTGGATAAAAATCTGCTGTTTAGATGAAGAAATCTCACAATTCATTCTCTTAAGTCTTTTGCCAAGACTATTAACTTTCCTTTTTAAAATAAAGAAAACAAACTCAAACCAATTATTACTTTTAGAGGAGACAAATTCAATAAAATATCCTGTCTCATTCCATCTCATTGTAGTTTATAATTGCAATCTCTTTACTGTGGCCAATGGACTAAGGGTCACTTAATGCCATTCCATACAATTCTGTCTTCCTTGGATGACAACCTATATTCCAGACCTCTCCTCCTACCATAGCCTCATCAGATTATTTTCAATGAACCCTGCTCTTTGAAGCTAGTTAATATGTTAAAAAGCAAAAAAAACCAAAAACAAAACAGAAACCCAATTCAAAAACAGCACTGATTGCTGCTGGGTTACTGTGGATACTGGAACAGATAATGTCTGCATTTGCAAAGGATTTTCTTGAGACATATTCATGGAGACACATGTGGCCTTGGTAACAAACAAGTTGTGAGTCTACTTTTGAGGGTTTTATATATCCATGTGTAGTGTTAACTCAGAGATTTGAGGATGGTGAGATCCTCTTGGGACTACTGTAAACACATTAAACTATGTATGGCCTTATGTTCTTATCTATTTATTTTTAAGTAGTCTCAGGTAAAATATGATTTTTGAGCATATGATTTTAAAATGCTTTCCAATTTCTTTTCTAATTTTTTTTCTGTTTTTATAATTCAAACTGAGTTCTGAGACATATAGAAATATTAGCAAATGTGTATCACATTAAACTTCTGATATTTTTTACCAGTCTATGTATATGAAGCCAGGGTTTTTATGTTTTGTCCTCAAATAGAGAATGTATTGCTGCTCTTTCACTATAGGTACGTTGGATCTAAAAGGGTAACTACTAATATTTTTATATTTCTACTGATCTGCTGGCATATTATAATTTTCCAACTTCACTGGAAGAGATAAAATAGCCATACTTCTTTGGAAGAGAAATGGTGAAATAGAGTATTGCTAAAGAGGCCCAAATCAGTCTTCGGCTTTCTTGCCATAAATCAGTTCAATTACAGAGAAAATCCACCTACAATGAAGAAGAGAATGATTTAGATAATATCAGTATTTTAATTTTCTTCAACTGAACAAGTTATGTCATCTGTATTTTTTAAAACCTCTTCATTGTATGTGGTCATTTCACACATGAAGTCACTCTATCTGAAAATGTGATAGCCAGTTTAGTGTCTAGCATTGAATCTTAAAGTAACAAAATACTTGAGTGAAATTTCTTCATCTTCTCCCAAAAAAGTTAATGCTTTTCCTCTTTTTTTCATACCATAGTCATTTCTGTGATACAAAAGAAGAAAATATAGTTTCAAGAACATCTAGAGATAAAAAATTATATATTTAAAATAAAGACAAATATATGTTTTTGTTAAAATGATGTCTGCTAGAGTTTATCTCAGGTTAGCACATCTGTTTGACATTCATTTTTATTTCAGTAGATCAGGTTTGCTTAGCACTCAAATACACTACTAATTAATTCACAACAAGGAAGTAATTAATCTTGCCCTGGCAAAGCACTTTGATTGATCTTCTCCCAGTAATCTAATAAATTGGTATAAAAAGTGGGAGACCAATTTGATTGACTAGAATGAATTTCTACTCAGAGAAATGCCAGATTTTCTCCTGATCTGCTAAGAGTATTGACACGACTAACACTAGGGTAATTACTAGTAAGTGTTTGAACATCTCATTATTTGAATATCTAATTCTAAAGGTAGACTACTGATAAAATTAAAAAATCAAAACCAAAAACTGTGAAACTTTTAAAGAATAAGCTAGTAATGGGTCGTTAAAACTCAGTCTTTCGTAAATAAAAACATTAGGAGTCAGTTGTCTAAAAGCAAAATAAAGCCATGGAAATATTTTTTCCTGGAAAATATTGATATACTAGTACCTTGGGGAAAGCAGTGATCTAATTAATTATCTAAAAGATTCAAGAAGAAAATATGATTCAATTATAGAAAAAAGGAATAGTATTGGTTAGTA